AAGAAAGATTAACAGATGGCTCAATTTTTTCATCTTTGATATTTATTGAATGATAAATATCATTATTATCGTCAAATGTTTGTGTTGATAATGATGATGTTTGTTGTTCATGATTGATATCAATTGGTAATGATGATGATGATGGTGTGATTGGTACTATAGGTAAAATCAAATCTTGAACATTTGATGAATGATTAACAAGCATTTGTTGTTTTTGTTGTTGACGTTCTTTTGCTCGAAGACTAATAATAAAAAAAACAAAAATTAAAAAAAGAACACTTTTACTGTAAAACTCGTCAAATAGATTTTATTATATTACCGCATATTTTTTTTACGAATTAATCGTCGTAAATTTTTTTCCTCATCATTAAGCTGTTCAATTTGTCTACCAATATCATCAATTTGTTTTTTAAGTCCATTATTATCTATAGATGATGACAATGATAAATCACTTGTATTTTGTTTAAGTTGTTGTAATAATTTATTTTGTTCACATCGAAGTGCTTCGACTTGAATAGGAATTTGTTCAACTTTTGTCTTTAGCAAAAAAAAAAACTAAAAATTTAATGATATTATAATAATGAAATAAATTTACTTCTCGATTATGCCACATTAATCGAAATGCATCAGAATCTCGTTGTCGAACATGAGATTTTGTTATAGGTACAGTTACTTTTATTTGTTTTGCTGGTGTTATATCGCATGTTAACATAGTTAATGGTCTATAGAAAATAAAAATCATATTTTTTTTTGTATTCAAAGACAAAACATGATTGTAATACCGTTTTTGAATATTTGCAGTTGAAATTCCAATATTTTGAAGAACACGACGAGCAAGATGTAAAAGTTCATCTCGACGAGTTAAAAATTCTTAATTTATAAATTATATCGAAGGATTTATTTAATTATGAAAATATAATTTAAAACCTGGTCTATGAAAACAAATAGCAGCTGCAGCTTCATTGATAAGAATCTAAATTTTATTATTAAAATAAAATTCATAAAAACTTAATTTTCTTACTTCATGTAAACTTAACACTTGATTTGATGTTTTGGAATCAAATCGATTATCTAAAATAAAGATAGAATTTCTAGAAAATTTCTTATGCATAATATGAATTAATCACAGATAGCTGAATATTTTCGAATACGTTGCCAACGATCTTCAAAATCTCTTGGCAAATTTATTGTAGCCTATTGATATAAATAGCTAAATATCAATATATATTTTTAAGATAAAAAAAAACAAAACATACAAATAAATCTTTTGATATATTATTTCGACCATTTAGTTTTTTTATTGTTGTTACTGGTAATATATTAGCTAATCGTTCTGCTTCATCTGCAATCATTTTACGTTGATTATCATCAAGTAGTTGATGCGTATTATTATTATTATTTTTAGAATGATCTATTTTCTAAATTAATTGCAAATTTATTTCTTTTAGTTAAATCTATTTGTAACTGAATAAAAAAAAAGCTTTAAAAAACTAACATTTAGACACCAATTAGAAGAAATTTGATTGATAAGTTTTGGTGAATTATTCGCTGGAGTTGAATGAATAACAGATGAAAATATATTTCGATCAGATAATGTTTCATCGGTCGATAAACGATGAAGAGAAGGAACAGTTGAATATGAATTATTTATAAATGTATGTTCATTATCAATATTATTCATTGATTGTCGATAATCAGCTAAAGCTTTTTTAAATCGTTTAACATGTAATGGTTTTGATACCATTCCAACGAGAGTAATAATTTCTTGAAAATCATCATTTTGTGCTTCAGCAAGTTGTTTTAAATCATCACCGCCTAGACATAGATATATGATACAAGATGATTGCAAAGTTCGTCAGGATAAAACAAAAAAAATCTGAATAATTCTTGAATAGTTTAACTAATTTGCATGAGTTTTCTATAACTTAGTTTGACGGTTCTTCAATTTTTATTCAACATAGCTAAGATCCAATACGTATACCTATACAAATTAGGATCGAAACAATTTTATTGATGACTGAATTTGAATCATCTAAAATCATGAAATGAAACCATGCCGTTCGAATTTAGTATAGACATGGTGAATGAAGATATCTCTAAACGGTTTTTATAAAGCTGATATTTAAATAAACCAATCACATTCTAAACATTTTACAGTAATGATAGAAGAAAAATTCGATACAGTTCATGTCACTAATGTTCGCGCCAAAATTAAAAAAGAATGGATGTAACCATGATAATTCAACAACGTAAACAGTTAGTGACCTGTAGTTTTCAACCATCTAAAGAGAAGACCTCCGGACACCTTTTTGTCTAATACTATATAAGACAAAATTATTTTCGAATTCATCATCTTCGCAATAAATTGAAAAAATGCATGAAAATAATGATGTTCCCTTTCTCGATGTAATTTTCCTTTTGACATGTACTTATTATAGAAAGACTTCAATTCTATCATTCAAGGCATTATTTCGAGTGATTATTGTCTTATATCTTAATGTTGAGCAAACGAAACCATATATGGTTAATCGGTTCATTCTTTTGATTTAACTAATTTTCTGACTTTTATCGAAGTTTCCTGGAAACGAAAAACCATTTCCATGTATTTTTTTGAATTTTGTGTGAAGATGATGAATTTTAAACTAATTTTGTTTTATACAGTATCAGATAATAAGGCGTTCAAAGTTCTCTTCATTGAGTTATTGAGCTTACACTCATACCTACATCCTATATGACTTTAATACGAAAAGTTCCGTCCTAATTCGGTAGGTCATTGTTTATAATAATGAGCAAATTTGTACAATAGACTGAATACTTGATCCTGGCTCATTTCACAAACATCCTTAATCTCATTGACTATTCGTCAGTACTTGCTCTAAGATCTTTAAGAACGTAATTGATTTCCAACAGTAATTGTTTTATACAAAATTGTTGCAATATGATTCTAATATACGATTCATTTGGCGTCTTTTTATAGGATTCTACATATAACAGTTGACACGAGATCTAACCATCAGTAAAACTATCTTAATTCTGGCTTCTGTACATACAGACATTTTATACGAAACCTTAAATGAATATGTGATCAAACTGTAAAAATAAATATTTCAATCTCTTGAATTATTGATGAGCTTTTCAGGTTTTTATTTTCCATTTGCGTTTTTTTTTGATATCCTGTCTATATATATATTACCATACCTTGTTCGATAAAAGCAGAATAATATTGTAAAAGATTAGCTTGTTCAAGAAATTTGTATAATGCATCTTCTAAATGATTTTTTGGCAAAGAAATTAATGTATTTTCTGTCCATCGAAATGTATCAGATTCTATTGATGAATGTTGAAAAGTGTCCTCTTACAAAAAGAAAACACTTTATAAAATATTTTTATAATAATTTTATTAAATTTTAAACATACGAATAGACTGTTGTTCTTTTATTATATTTTGATGATCGATTATAAATGATTGAGATGTTTGCATTGAATTATCAAGTGAAAGATTATTATCACTGATAATTTCATTTGTTTTTAATATATGTTTTTCTATGACTTTATTATTATTATTATCATCATCATCATCATCTTGTTGTAATTGTTCATTGTCCGAAGTTATTTTTTGTGTTATAAAAGTTTTATTTGCATTTTGTATTTGATGTAATTTATCAATTGTATTTAAAAGTCGTTTTGCTTTTGTATTTGTAATTGCTGGTAAAATTACTGATGAAGAAGATTTTGATGGTAAAATTAAAAGTGATGGTGATATTTCTGAAAGTGTATTTGATTTTATTGATCGATTAGTATTTGAATTAGTTGATGAATTTAATAAATGATTATTTAATATAGTCGAAGAAAGTATAGTTGAATTAGAATTAGTTTGAGTAAAAATTGATGGTATAGCAGTTGCTTTTAAATAACGTGTAAGACCAGTATGATTTGCAATATAATCATCTGGATGAAAATGTCGATAGCAAATTTTCGAATGTTTATTTATAGAAAGTGTTTGTGAACAATGATTAAATACAGTTTGTCGCCATAATTCAAATCGATGTTGATCAACAGGAAATGAATGAAAAAGAAGTCCTTTGGAAAAGAAAAGAATAGATTGTACTATGTGAACGCATTGACATGAGAAATACCTTTACGAATATTCCGTCGATTATGAAGTGGACAACTTATGATTGCACAATTGTGTACCATAATTGATAGATATGACTAAATGAATAAATGGCGCGTGAGAAATATATTCTATGTGTATGATTATAGTTTTCTATATTTCCTTAGCTGCAAATATTTTAACTCAAATTTAACTTTTATTTTCTATTTTTTACTTTTTAGCATCAATAATAATATTATTACCTGCAAATTTTACTCTAATAAATCAATCAAGAGTGATGACAATCGAATAAAATGATAATGGTACTGATCACTTTGCTATTGCTTTTAACTGTATGGTTTTTGTCATGTACATTTGTTTCATTAGATAAGGACTTGTGCCGGCGCCAATATCCGAGGAGTAATATTGTCGTTCTATGAATGATGAAAGGTGTAATTTGCTGCAATTGATTATAATTAGAGATTGTAGCTTACTTTTAATTTAAAATTATACATTTAATTGTTGATTATTATTGAAGTTTATCATATAACAAAAAAAAACATAGAACTCTACTCGTAGATATGAAACTAGATGAGATCGAAACTTAAAGTTATATTTATGAAATCATAAGAACGCAAATAGGAATCGATTGTTAACGACATCTTTTGAAATATGCTGAACATTGAATTACAATCATTTAAATAAATATATTTAAGTTTTGAATTTTGCTTTAAAAAAATTGTTTTTTAAACTATTTATATTAATATTTTTATTTTCATCGATAAAGTCAGAAAAAAAAAACCGAGATAGTGATCATTAAAATTTTAGGTAAACAAACAAATATAAGAAAGCATACTAATCAGTAGTCAGTCAATATATAATTTTTCAATTTGAAAATTTGCATTCAATGCCTCAAGTAGAAATATTTGTTGGAAATATTCATCGAGATATTTCAAAACATGATCTTGAAGAGTAATTATTTTGTCTGAAAAAAAAAACAAAAAAACATCTTTTTCTTTTCTTTTGTTTTCATTAAACATAGTATCTTTGAAAATTATGGACGTGTAGTTAGATGTGAACTCAAGCAAGGAGCATCGAGTAAATATTATTTATAAATCTTCTTTGATAAATAAAAAGTTTTTTTTTTTTTTGAACATAGATTTTGCTTCAAGTTATGGATTTCTTGAATTCGAAACAAGTTCCGATGCTGAAGTAATTATAATTCAATATTACTTAAAAAAAAAAAAAAAAAAAAACAAAAGAAATAATAAAGCTTTCAATTTACACATAACTACGACCTTTTTGTTTTCTAGGAGTGCATCATGTATTCCTAAAGTTTCTTTTCATACATATGCACGTCTTCGATTCATTAATATATATATGATGAACAACGTGTAACATGTTTCCGTATCAGATTGATTGAAGGTGGTGGTGCTATTTCATACGTCAGCAGTGCATTTTCCCATTTTCAGAGTTCTTTTCATATTGTTTAAATAGAAGGTATGTCGAGTTACGAGAGAAAAATTATAATTTGTATATCTTGTTTTTCTTTTTTTTATTTATTTCAAAGTTTCTGAACAACTTTAGGAGATTTTTATAATTAATTATTTTTATTAATATTTTTTTAGGCAGCTATTAAAGGAGAAAATGGACGTGAACATCAAGGAAAATCATTTATTGTTCAATGGGCAAGATCAACACGACGTGGACCATCAGTAAGAAAAATATTTGAAAGCAATATATATTTTTGATTTTATCTTTTTAAGAATGGTTATAGTGGTAATAATCGTAATAATTTGACATGTTATAATTGTTCACGTCCTGGTCATATATCTCGTAATTGTCGAGAAAATCGAGCTGATGGTGACAATCGTTATAATAATCGTCGAACTACAAATTACGATCGTCGAGGTGATCGTGGAGGATATCGACGACGTTCTCCGTAAGTCAATATTTTTTTTAATTTTACATTATTTTTTTATTCATTTATTTTATTTTTAATAGATCACGATCACGATCACGATCACATAGTCGATCATAATCCAAAAATAGAACAACAAAACGTCTAGTTTTTCCATGAACAATGTCAACAATAAAATCCCGAAAATTAAAAAAAAAATAAAAAATAAAAAAAAAGACAATTTTCCTATTCTCATGTAAAAGTGATCATTTCTTGTACGTGTTGTATCTTGAAATATATATCTATGATTGTTTTTTTTTCTTTATCGACATATGGATAATATCCAAAAGAAGAAGAGATAGAAAAAAAAAAATTGTGCAAATAAACAAAAAAAAAAATATATAATCTACATCATCAATCAATCGATATATTTATATCCAGATGTTCTTTTGGATCGATGATTTTTTTTTTATTATTTATAATAATCTTGAGGTAATCTAAAGTAAATCATCGAGATGATATTCCCATGATACTTGTTTGTTTTTTCTCTTATCTATCAAATAATAATAATAATTCAATTTTTCTCGTTTCAACAAACTATAATATGAAAGTAAGCGGATATAAGTAATCCGAAATTTTATTTCCTATTTCTCCTTTCAATAGATTTTAGCTAATCATTATCTATCGGGTAAATTGTTTTCACAAGAATGACTATTATTGGTAGATGCTGTTATAAATATAAATATAAATAAGTACTTTTTACATGCATACGAGAACACCTGTTCTACTTTTAATAGCTTGCTACGATGCACAATGCACACGTAAAAGACCTGCCGGGGAAATGCGCAACATATGCAGGAAAAAGAGAACAATATAGCTTATACTCTACCGTTAAAGAATGAATGAGTGGGAGAGAGCGCGAACGGACAAATGTCAACATATCAAATTCCTCGATCTTATTGGCGAACAACATCATTAAAGTAAAGAGCGTTGTTGATTAGTTGTAAAACTCATTCAAATATAGTAGCTATGAATTCTTTTATGACAAATTTCTATATGACGAAATATTTTTCAAAAAACAATATCTATATGCATCCTGTTAGTTATAGGCGATTTTTGGGGTTTGTTAATTTGTCGATTTCCGGTGCGCAAGATAGAGATGATGGCTAGAAACAAAAACATTTGTACAAGAACGAGTTTTGTTTTTTTTTTTCTCTATGACGATAACGATGACGATGTCGCCGACGACTTGGATCAATATTGAGAACAACAACAGTCAAAGCAACGGGACTATAGTGAAGCAGTAAAAAAAAAAGAAGAAGAGGAGACATCACGCAGATTAGATTCCATAGAGAGAAATTAATTTTTTATTTGTACTCTCTCTTTTTCTACTCTGCCTAGCTGTGATTGAGGCGTACAAACGACATGCGAGCACACATACACATATACGCGGAAAATCGCATTTTTTGATCTACGCTTCTCGCTTTCTTACTTTCTTTCTTGTTGATTTCCTATACTCGAACAGTATTAACTCATATGGGAACACTTGTTATTGGTATTAGCTATCCAACATAGGTCAAAACGAGATGTGTTTCTTCTTTCTTATAGGCAGTAACCAATCGTCACTATTTATAACAAAAATGTCTAACGATGAATTAATCATGATGACAACTTTATCATATTTGATTGTCAGTTTTATAATTCATGTTATATTTTTTATAACAACAATTTTTAATCATGAATGGAATATCGTAAATATATCACGAAACTTATTTTATCGATATTTCAAACAAACACCTACAAAAAAAATCAATACAGGTTAGTTTATTAACTATATACGTCTAGTTTTTGAAATAATATTATTAAATTAATTGACTGACAATTAAGAAATTAAGATTAAGTCAAAATATTGTAATATATTTATCCTTGTCTTTTTGCTATAGTAAATTCCCCGTCATTGAATATGCAACAAATTTGTTCAAATGTTATAGAAACTGAAACATCAACATCTTTTGTGACTAAAAACATCTCTTCTGTATCATCATGTTCACCATCATTATCATCAGATATTATTCTTGAATCTGAAACAATATTAAATCGAACAGTTCGTTCATTTGGTCTTCTTCTATGTACATTTTTATTACTAACTAATTGGCTACGTTTGGGCATATACTTATTTCCAAAATTCTATCCAAATATTATACAATATTCATCAAATTTATGTTTTATACAAAGTTTTTCTCTTCATGTTTTAACATTATTTCATTTAAATTTAACCATTGGTATACGTCTTCTATGGCATTATTGTTTTATATTCAATAAATATTGGCAAACAATAACATATCGTCGTGTATTAATACTTTTTCTATGTATTTTCATTGGTTCATGTATATTTACATGGCCAAGTATAAGTGATGAATGGGCATCAATTATATTTGATCAAATATTAAATATATGTATTGTTAATTATAGATTCCGTGTCTCATATACATTTTTTGTTTTATCATTTACTTGTATAATTCCATATTTACTATTAATCATATCACATAATCGACAAATGAAATCTATGAAACATCGAATGTTAAAATATTTTTCAACATTTAAAATTAATCAACATAAACAAAAATTGAATATAATTCGACGAAAAAGACACTTTCAATATGCTTCATATATCATTCTCATCTGGTCATTTATTAATATTCTACTTTTAATATGCATACATATACCAATAGAACATGGAATAATAATAAAATCTATAATATATTATGTACAAATAAGTGCGTTTCTTATTGATCCAATTTTGTATATATTTATTTTTCGTTCTCTATCCATTATTACTTTATTACGACCGACTGATGAATTTGAGTTTTGAAAAATGTTAATAATTTTTCAATTAATAAATAAAAACATGTTTGATGTCATTAATTAATTCGATTGATATGTTGCATTAAAAGATAGAATATTATGACAAAGATGGCATTTTTTCTATATTAAGAATATAGCTCCTGTGGATTGTTTGCATTAACCATGATCTGTTGTTTTTGCTCTATTCCCGGAGCACTAGTCAAAATACATGAAATAGAATACAAAGAATTTGAAATTGATCAAAAGCTAACATTGATTTTTCCTGTTTTTTCCAACAAATAGGCATTGATTTTAAAATCTATGTTTTGCATTAGACAAACCTTAAGAATAGATCCGCTAAAAGCATTTTAACACTGATTATAATTGGTGTCAAAAAAATCGCTAGGAGTCGTTGTTGAAAATAGGAATAAATCAATACCTTGAATTTCTAATCATAATTCAAAGCTGCCGAATTTCTAGCGATTCGTGATACCAGTTATGTTCAGTTTTGAATGCTCTTTCCGAATCTATTCTTAAGATCTACCTAAGGCAAAATACAGTTTCTAAAAATCGATTGGGATTAATGAAAAAAAAAGCAAAATAAATGTGGATCTTGAATCAATATCAAAACCTTTGTATTCTATTTCATATATTTTGATTACAGTTTAGGATAGAGGAATAACAACAGATCATGATCGATATAAACATTCCACAGAAACTAACAGAAAGAAAAAACGCCATCTTTGACATCATATTTTAGGAATTGGTGAATCCCTAATTACATGTAGGTTTTTGCTCAGACGATAGGACATGTGTAGATTTGTTGATGAAGACTTTCTCTATCCAATGGTGTATATACTATCGAATTCTGTTGTATACCACGAGAAGAAAATAGAATTGAAGAAATTATCGATTTCACATTTTTTTAAAGATCATCTCATGTTAGAAATTAATCCAATAGTGTCTATATTGTTTGATAGTCCACATTATCTACTTGCATAATTTGTATAACTTTGCTTGATATTTCGGTTCTAATGTGACTAATAAAAGTTTGAAAAACAATATTGGACATGTTCATCATAATGCTACTTGAGATAGTATTTATAGTTTCATGTTAGACAATCTAACGTATGGTTTCTATACACAGAATTGTAGAGATTATTTTGCTCTTAAAAAATGATAAGTACATTAGTCCTATGTTCCTTTATTTGTTGATACTTTACTTAGACATTATTATGTAAAATTGCGTATGTTATCTATAGCTGCTATCTATTAGAGCTATTTTATTACTATTTCTGGAAGAAATCGTATGCAGACTTTGACGATCACACAAACAGAAAGTCTTCCAAAAAAAAGAGAATCGCTAAAATCAACAGATACAATCAATCATTGCTAATACTAAACAGTTTTCAGCTTTGTTTTCAAGAGTAGATTGGTTTTTATTAGCATCTTTATTAATAATATTGTTTCCTGATTTCGTTCCATCCCTAAACAATTCATTTATTGAATCTTCATCGGTTATTTCATAAGAGCAAAGAAATCTTGACAATTTTGTATATTGCAAAAAATAAATTTCAGACAGTCAAACATGAAATTATAAATACTATTTCAAATACCATTATGAAAAATATGTGCAATTTTTTTCAAATTTTCTTAGTCACATTAAAACTTGAACATCCAATATACTAATATAGATTATGCAAGTAGATAGTATGCACGATCGAAGAAAATAGATATCATTGAATTAGATTTTAGTACAGAAGAATCTTCTTAAAAAAATGTTAAATCCATAGTTTTTTCAATTCAATTTTCATTCATGACATGCAACAGATTTTGATAGTATATATATTGTTAAATAGAGGAAATTTACTTCTAGAAACCTATTACTATTCTGTTCTTTCGTTAAAGTCGTATAACTGGCTTTCGCTAAACTGACGTTGAATATACAGGTTTATTCAATGGAAAAAAAGTTTTTGAATTAATAATATTATGTCACATTATCTTGTTTTTTTTTCTCTCATTTCAATAAAAAATAAAATAAAAAGAATACTTATGATAATAAAAAATAATCATTTAGTTCTACTCGTTCAAGTGAATTCTAGTGAACGAATTAATATTCTCTTACGCAAATTTCATTTATCGATTTATCACATAAAATAATAGGAATTTATTTTTTTGTTTTGTGCGGTGTCAAGCCACTAGATGTGCTACTACGTCGTCGATGAATAACTTTCTGTGATACACCAGTTCGAAAAGGTGATGGTGCATGATGATGGCTACTATCACGTCCATCTACAGCACTCATTTCAGGTGAATTATCGAATAATTCACTTGGTAATTCAGTACTTAACGGAGGATGAATGGTTTTTCTATATGATGGTGTTTTAAATCTTTGTAATTCATTAATCATTTTTGAAAAATCATTACGCCATGTTGATGATGATGAAGTAAAAACAGAACTTTGACTTATTAATGGTGATGCAGCAAAGTCAGCTCGGTTTTTAGCTTGATTAGTAAGTGATATATCAAGACTTTCGTTACGTTTAAGTGTTATACGACGTGATTCAATTGGATCAACAAATATTGGTGGTGGATAAACAACATTTTCATTATTATCATTTAATGTAGTTGAAAAATGATTAAGAAAATTTTTCGAACTTGAAACACATATTGGTACTGATGCAACTGATTCAGTATGATTTGTTGTTAATGTTATTGAACGCATTCGAACTGGTATTGATGAACGTCTTTCAATTACTTGTTTAATAGTTAAATGTGATACATTTGTATTTGTTGGTATTTGATTATTACGTTCATGAAGTATTATATCATTACGTAATAAATTTTGACAACGTTCATGTTTTAATGCACAAGCAATATCATATGCTGTTGATCCACGATGATTTTTAATTGTTATATCAATTGAATAACGTTTCATAGCATCAAGAATAGAACGAGTAATATCAACATTACCGGTTGAACATGCATAATGTAAACATGTATTCCCATAAATATCTGTTGTTCGATTAAGATCAAAATCAAGTGAAGCAAGATAACGTCGAACTAATATTGGTCGTTGTGTTATAATAGCATAATGTAATGCATTAAGTCCACGTTGATCTTGATCTTCTACTTTTGCCCTATATTCAAGTAAAGTCATAGCAATATTTTGTGCCCAACAATCATTATCAATAAAACAACAATACATGAGTCCATTACGACCTTCATTATCACGTTCACATGCATCAGCTGAACCTGATTGCAGTAAATAACGAATTAATGAAAAATAACCTTTTTCAAAACAATAAAGAAGTGAACGTTGAATAAGACCACGTTCTAATTTAATCATATGAACTGATGGTACTTCACGAAATGGTACACGTTGTCGAGTTGTAAGCATATTTGTTGCAAATATCGATTGATAAGAGTCATTCATGATTAAAATCTGTTTGAATGTGTACAATTATATTTAAATTAAATTTTTTTACTATACATTTTATACTAAGATTTTTTTAAACTTTGTCTAAATCATAAAGAGAAAAAAAGAAAGGCAGAGAGGAGGAGAAAAAGGGAGGGAATAGGAATGTACAACTATAAGTGTTTGATCCATTAGATGAATGAAGTATGTTGACTGTTGTTTTTGATTCATTGTTGGCGAATAAGAAAAAAAAAAGACCTAGTTCAAGAGAGAGATTGAATCAATAAAATGATAATACTTATGAAGTTTGGCAATTAAAACGTTTTTTTTTCGTTTGTGATTCTTTTTTTATTTTCTGTTCTTTCTTTTCATTTTTTTTTTTTTTTGTTAACGGATAGAAAAACGAAAAAAATTTCTCTATGAAATCGAAACAAAAAACAACAAAAACGGCAACATAATAATGGTTGTTATAGAATAATTGTTGGATTTGTTGCTTATGATATTCAGTTGTTAATAATTTTGTTTTTTTCCTTTAATCTTTAAAATCTCAACTTATGTGGTAAAACACCATTCCAAAGTTGAAAACGATTTTTAAGATAACGACGGAGAATACGTGAATCGGCATGAGTTTTAATAGCATTAAGAACTACTTTATCAACATTAGTTTGTGCTTGATTACGTTCTTCACTGAGTTTTGGTTTCTAAGAAATAGAAAAAAACAGTTATTTTTAATACAAAATTTGAATTGTTTTCTATTACAATCAAAAAAAATATCGACCTTTTCTATTTACAAATAATTTCTTCTCTAATAAATCAAAATAAAGTTCATTAGTTCGAAATAACACTTTCTATGTTTACAATGAAAATAACTAGAAAAGAAGTGTCATTCAATCAAAATACCAAAGATTATATTCATGCTGATCATAATTCAAAAGTATCCAAAAAATAAAACATTGAAAGAAACGGTATAATTTCAGTGCAGTTAAATTTCGTATACTATTATTTCTGTGCTCTTCATATCTGTAGTACACTTAACAGGAATATTGTGAGAAGAGTTCGATAGTTCATAAAAAGAATCTGAATCTGTAAAATCATCAATTCTTTTTTTCATTCTTGAGATTCAAGAATTCAGTATATGTATATATATGATATTGTTTTGTTTAAGTATTGAAATATGTAATGTCAACAATTCAATTGTGAAAATTTCTCAAAATAGGCTCAAAGTTTTTTTTTTCAATCTATTTGTTGATTTAACGGTTTTGGTTCGAAGAGATACATTAGAAACGATTGAACGTTAATCTCCAGCGGGGAAGTGACTCTCTGTCTTTTCTGATCTTGAGAATTTTATTTTCTTCTCCAAAGTGAAAATGAACAATTTTTCGTCTCTTCATTGAAAATATTGCACTATGGAAGCCAAATCAAATTATTCAATACCACCTGTTAGTAAATATTAGATAAAAACTGTTACAACTAATTGATTTTTTTTCTTAAAACATTTTCTTCCGTGAAAGGATAGGACTAATGATTCCTCTTGGAATACATATTCATAGGTTCAATAATTTCAATGTCATGCTGACATATTCATAATGATCACTTAAGAAATTTTCTCTAATGTAATATTTAATCGCATCTTTGGATATAAAACTTAGATTAACAGCTGCAATTTTCAAGATTGATTTGACATCTTATCAAGAACTGAGAATAATATATGTAAAGTTTTCTTTTGAATTTCAATAGTTAATTTTACCTCTTTCTTTGAATCGAAGATATCTTTTTCAGCATTTTTTTTAGCTGGACGAACACGTTTAAAAAATTTATCATCGAATTCATCGAATTTACCAGCTGATAAATCAAGTTTTGTACTTGTTGCAATAACATATATTTGGTTAACGCGACGTAATGATACACCATTCAATTTATATGGACCTAATAATATAAAAAAAAAAAACAAACATTCCACTTCAAAACAAAATCAAAGTTCTTTACCAGTGACTAACAAAAGTCCAGATGATAAGTGTTTAACCACAACAACACGCTACAAAGAAAAAAAAAACCAAAACCAAGAATATAAATTAGAAAAAATCTGAATATCTTACTTTTCCTGCATGTTTTCCAGCAACAAGAATAACAACGGTACCAGGTGTAAGTGTTGATCGAAAACGGCGTGGATGACTGCTGAATTTTTTTCGTTTAACCGAAAATTTCTTTGGTCGTTCTTCAGTTGGATAAAAACGTGGCTAGAATAATAATCAATAAAATAAAATCAATCATAAGAAAATTAAGTATACATACCAAACGTTTTGTTCGTACAAGACGTTCTTTACCATTTCGTTCACCACCAATTGTTTTTTTTTTAAGTGCTGGTAATCGTTTTTTTTTCTTTTGAATACTACCAACTGTTTTTTTAGTTTTATCTTCTTTTAATTTTGCTTGTTGTTCTTTCCATTTACCGATACGATATAATGCACGTCGATGAAACATGCGACCACGTGAAAATCGCATAAGACCATTGGTATTTAATAATCGATTTGAATGTGAATTGACTACTTTTTTACCACTAGCTGTTGTTTTAGGTTTTTTTAATTTTGATCCAACACCAAGTGTACTAACCAATTTTTTTTGTGGTTGTTTTGTTGTTGTAGTTGTTGTTTTAACAACAGTCGTTGTTGTTGTCGTCGTTTTAGCTTTAGCACCTGTTGGTACAGCTTTAGCTGAAGGAGTTGACATGATCGAGATTTATTTTGTCTCTAGAAAAATAATTTTAAGAAAGAAAAATAAATAAAATATAGATTTTAATGTTTTGTAAATGAAATTTTTGTATTTTTCTTAAATAAAAAGATAAAAAATTGAGTGCAAGAACTGTATATATGTTTATAAATGTAAAATAAGCAAGGTAAAATAATGTTTATTGATCCTCCAATCAAAGTTAAGTGTTTTAATGAACATTCAGATTATAAGTAATAAATATTTATTATATGAATTTTTATAATGATTTTTATTCAAAATTCTTATCAATTTTTTAAGAAATTTTTTAAATAGTATAATAATAAATATGATTGGTAGATAGTATTTCCTGCATGGTAGTTAAACTGTGCTGTGGATGAGTCATTAATCTTTAATCAAGAGCTGGTTTTGTTCCTTCCTACGCGACAAGTAATGATACTTTTTATTATCATTGTATTCTTTTAAAAATTCAGAAGATTCACAATTTTATGTTCGTATCATTGAATTAGTAATATGATAGAACTAACAATGTTTTGTCAACATTCATTGATTGTAACTTCTAGTTTTTCTTTTTATTATCTATTTATTAAATGACAAACTAATCAAAATCATATGGATTTTTATTAAATTAACTTATTTAAAAGTATATATGATTAATTTGATGTTTTTCTTTTTTTTTTTAAACAGAAAATATGCATTATTTTATCATCTTAGTTTTTTTTTTATGATGTATCCATGACAAGCAGATGAATGACGATTTCCTGTCGCCAGTTTCATTCTTTGTGATAACATAGACATATATATATATATATGTATGTATATGTATAAAGACAAAAAATGTATTATGTCCATTTCTATCATCACTTTTCGTGTGTTCTTTTTGTTATAAGTAATATGGTTTTAGGTGATTTGCTAAACTTTAGTTATGAAAGTTAGTCGTCATCATTGTTTATTTCTTGACAGATGTAGTGTTGAGACAGAAATATAAAGACGAGAAGTTCATATTTTCTAGTTTTGTGTATGTGTGTGTACATTGTAACTTAATGTGTGATCAAGATAAGTAAACAGTTCGACTAACTACATATAACATTATACTATATGTTATTGCCAAAAACAAATTTATCGGAAAAAAAAATGCAGCCTATTTATGTAGGTCTCAATTGATGCTAGTTGCAAGAATTTGTTTTATAGTCTGAATGACCTTGCTATCAAACATGTAAACAGTAGACAGATCGTGCGCGTCCAATTCGCACTTCGAGGTCATATTTGACGTCAGCAGCAATAGCAACAGTATTAGAAGTAAAAGTTTGTGTCTCTCGCTTACTGCCTCTCCCTTCCTTTTACTAATACTAGCATCGTCTAATAATCATTACGGATGTGTGTGTGTGTGCCGAATCAACATGATATGTCGATTAAAGTAAGACTAACATAAGCATAACTAAGATGCGATGCCATCTGAAACTCACAGCTTGGTATGCAATGATGCTAGTGTGTTTACATTTATGGGTTAAAACAGACCAAGAGAAAGGGATGATCATCATAGAATGGTAACAAACGACTTATTGTCCATAATTGCTACATGCACACACAAACATCACTGTGCCATTTGTTCTCTTCTCGTTTAGTAAACGGGCGGACGAGCTAAACGGGGCCTATGTTATAACGTAAATACAAGCAGTAGTTGTTACGAGACAAAGACGAATTGGATGGGCCAAATAGGAAAGAACAGAGAGAGAGAGAGAGAAAGAGACAGCAATTCCTTCTCTTTCCTTTCAACTTGTTGTTAACCCTTTGGTCTATCGACAGTGAATGTGCGTAGCCTACACAAAGATTTTTTCTTGCGGTATGTCAATATGCATAGAGAAACGTGAGAAAAAGAACATAACGATCATCTTAGTAACTCTTTCCTTTTTTTTTTTATTATTATTATTACCATTATTATCATCTCGTATTTGTTCTGCATTTATTTGAAGATTTTCTTGTCAGAAACAATATCTAGATAAAATAATACAAAATTATGGTACTTAAATTACCACCACTTGAATTTACAGAAGCACTTACAGATTCACCCGAATTTCGTGAAAAATTACGGCAACATGAAAATGAACTTGAAAATACATCAAATGCAATCAAAACATTAATTAAAAAATTAAATGAAGTTATGGTTGCTAATAAAAGTAAATGATACAATAAAAAAATTTATAATCATAAGCTTTGTTTGTTTTTTTTTTTTTGAATAGCTTTATCAAAAGCATCAAGAAGTGTTGCTGAAACATTGAAAAGTTTTAAATTTTTTGTTGTTGGAAGTAAACAAACAGATGAAGAACGAGATATAGGTTTGATATTTTAATGAAATATTAACAAAAAAAAAAGAAGATTCTTTTCTTTTGTTTTTTTAAATTTTAATTAGAATCATCTCTTTCATATATGGGTGAAGTATTACATCGAATTGAAGAAGCTAGAGATGCACTTGTAAGTTTTTAATAATGAAATAAAAATAAACATATTTCTATAATTATTTTCATAGAGTGCTTCATCGGAAACATATTTAAAAAAATTAGATGAATTTCGAAAAACAACAATTGGAAAAGCAAAAGTTTGTTTTGATTGATAATTTTTAATTTAACTTTTTTTTTTTTTTGTTTTTCATTTAGAATAAAAAAAAAGAATTTGATAAAACAACTCAACGTTATTGTACTTTAATAGAAAATAATATGAAAATACCAACAAAACGAGCAGATCTATTTCAAGAAGTAAAAAATTTAATAGAATAAAAAATTCTAATTAAATATCATTTTTATTTTAGGCTGATGCAAATCTTTTAATTCAAACAAAAAAATTTCGTGAAGAAACACTTGATTATGTTTTTTTATTACAACAAGTTCAAGAAAGAAAAAAATTTGATTTTGTTGAAACAGTAATTAATTTAAAAAAAAGAATTTTAGTTTTTGAACAAAATAAAATATTTTTTTTTTATGTATTTAGCTTTTGGCTTTAATGCTTAATTTTCTATCATTTTATCATGCAGGTAAAAAATAGAAATAATTTAAAATTATTTAGAAAACAAATTGCTCTCTATTAGGTCAAGAAATTTATAAAGAATTTGATTATTTTATAAAATTTTTACATCATCGTGTATTAAAAGTAAGAATGTTTTATTTCTTTGATTAATTGAGAAATGAATTATTCTTTTTTTTTTTGTTCTTTTAGTGTCGTGAAAATTTTGATTGTTTTCAACGTGAAGGTGAAGATTTAAAATGGAAAATGTTAATGGTAAATAACATTAAAGAATTTATATTGTAACAAAATCTTTTCTTTTTTAGCGACCGGAAGATCATTTACTTCGAAATCAAGAATATAATCGTGAAGGTTATTTATTTCTTGTTGAAAGAAGTATGAAAAAAAACAAAACAATAATAATTATTTCCGATGAATTGATTTTTGTATTTTTTAATAAAATTTTGTTTAGATAAAATTATTGGTACAACAGCATTAACAAAATATTATTGTCAATATCGAAAAGATATTAGTCTATTGAGAATGATTAATTTTACACAAACGAGTACAAAACAGGTAAAATTAGATTTAATAGAACAGAATTTTTTTTATGTGTACAATACTACTTCGATTAAAATGTCAAAATATTGAGTTGAATTCAACCGAGATAATGACATTTTCTAATGTTTGATAAAGGTGAAAAAATAACTAGAGAGAAATTTTTGTTTTGATTTAAAACTAAATCAAACACGATATTCTCATTTACAATATTTTTTTTTTTTCTAAGAAATAGAATTAAAAAAGAAACCAAATAATGTTAATTCTTTATCCATCATTATAATTTTAGAAAAGTCAATAATGAATAGAATATTAGTATCTCCGATATATTGATAGTATGAGTAGATTGATTAGCAGTACTCTCATGATCCTTGCAAAAAAATAACGTCGCACATAGCTCGAGGATGTTTCATTTAATAAGCAATGGTGTACTCTACTATTTTTGTATGGTACGAGTAAAATTAATTATAAGGAAATATAATCATTTAAATATTCTATAAAATGACATTCATCTAGGCATACTGTATGGATATCTATTAACTCTGGCACGATCATTTGGGATCAGCGAAGACCTTCCAGCTAGTTTCATCACACTGTTATAAGTGTAGAGTATTAGATAAAACTGATCATATTCCAGATATGCTCTAGTGAAAATTAATAGAGTATGCTGATTAATATCTGCCAATTACGGTCAACTATTATTTATATGCGTTGACCATTGCAAAATATATGTGAACGCTTGTTGACTACCAGGAGTTTGCCTGAACTCCAAATAAAATTGATCGTTATACAATGTATTCATGGTATTTAATCGAACAATGTCCTTTTAAATATACATTGAGAACACTTAGTACAATACATTGATAACATCAGTCAATCAAATGCAGTTGTTCTTATTATGTAAAACAGTTCGAAATAGATATGAAGACTGAATAGTAACATAGAATTTCAATTACTTTGACTATAAAGAATAATAAGATCATACAATAGGTTCAAACTAACTGTTTTTCTGTTTGTTCTTCTTAACATTAAGTTTTCTCTAGAGTCTTCATATGTCCATGATAAACAATTAACAGTTTTTTGATATTATATTTATTTTATCAATTGTTGTCCTAAGGGACACCAGGTGTACAACAAGTGATAGTCCTCAAGGTGATCATGTTGGGACTAATTCTGTCGAATAGGACTTTTTATCCTGATAATAATATTTTTTTTTTTTGAATTAAGTTTATTTATGTAATCTTTGTTGTACAAAACAAAAACAAATATTGATAATATACGTATATATATATATATATTGATGGTCTTAAAAATTGTTTAGAAAAGAATGCTTAGAAAATCAAGATTCTTCAAAATCAGTTTTTTAGAATCCACAATTGAAGCGTTTTGAAAATAGTTTCATTAGATAGAGCAAAATGAGATGTGACATATCTGTGTGTCGAAAGTCT